GCATATTACACAAAGAATAAATTAACCTTTTAACTCAGAATCAAAGAAAGTTTTGTTATTCTAACAGTGAGAAACCTAATTCTTTGTTTTACATATTATTTAACATTAAAACTCCTAAAAATCTCATAAATTAAACCATTAAACTTTAGTCAGACAGATAAAACTTTTGACCATATTAAATAAATTTATTTTTAATAAACCTTTTAAACGTTGCCTTTGTTCCATATCTCGTACTACATCCTTTTAAGATGGCAAAAATGTTCACTCTTAAATTATGATGAATATCTATTTTCTCAATTTAATATATCTGTAAGTTACCTAAAAGTTCTTAGAAATTATTTTAATTGTGTATACCATGAAACGTAACTATTGAAATGAAGTTTGTTTAAACATTCTAAGTTTTTATTCAACTTTTAGTATTTCTCTTATTTTTCTCAATCTAATTTTAGCCTTTAAAGATTTTATCAACCAGCTTTGGAAACTACAAAGTCTCTGCTCAGCTAACCAATTAATTGATGTGGATATAACCTTAAGCCTCTGGCTAGGGGTGGAAACATTTTTCTAGGCCATTTTAGGTGTGTCTCATTGTGACTCCTATTTTTTTGCTTCTTAGAGTTCCCCTACAATAGATAGAACTTCACAGTTCTTTTATGATTGGGATCCACCCAATTTTTTGATAACTATAGTAAGACTAATTTTTTTTCTTATTTCCTTTTGCAGGACAAGAGGAGACAGAAAGACCACATAAACTCAATGAACAAATACCACACAAAACAAAGATAGGGGGATCTTAGTTTCTTCAAGTGTATGCAGTGATTTTTGGGTAAAATCAACTCCATTTAACAGAAAAAAACAGGTTCTAGGTAAAACTTATTAACTTGCCAGAGCCTCAGATGGAGGAATATTAGGCCTTTTGACAAAAAACCTGAGCATCAAGCAAAAGTCTCTCCCCCTCCCCCCGGCCAAGAGGGAGAGGGGAATTCACTAACTAGATAGTAGGTGAGAATTATCTTAGGTGAAGGGAAGGGTAACACACAATACAGGGGAAGTCAGTGCCACTGGACTAAACCAAAAGCTAAGAAGTTTCTTGAACATAACCAAAAAACTTTGAGGGATAGTGTAGCAGGGGTGGGGGTCTGGGGATCATGGTTTCAGGGGACATCTAGGTCAATGGCATAACAAAGTTTATTAAGAAAATGTTCTGCATTCCACTTTGGTCTTTTCGTTCTTATTTTTTTAATGACCTTTGGTTTCTTCATGTATGATGTCCTTGATGTCATTCCACAACCCCTCTGGTCTTCAGTCATTAGTGTTCAATGAGTTAAAATCTATTTTTGAAATGGCCTCTGAATTCAGTTGGGATATACTCAGAGTTGTATTTTGGCTCTGGTGGACTTGTTTTAATTTTCTTCAGCTTCAACTTGAATTGTGTATGAGCAATTGCTGTTTTGTTCTATAGTCAGCCCCTGGCCTTTATCTGACTGATGATACTGAGCTTTTCCATTATCTCCTTCCACAGATGTAGTCAATTTGATTCTTGTGTGTTCCATCACGGGAGTTCCATGTGTATAGTCGTCATTTATGTTGTTGAAAAAAGGTATTTGCAATGAAGAAGTTGTTGATCTTGCAAAATTCTATCACGCAACCTACAGCATCGTTTCTATCACCAATACCATATTTTCAAAGTACCTATCCTTCTTCTTTGTTTCCAGCTTTTACATTCCAATCACCAGTAATTATCGATGCATTTTGATTGCATGTTTAGTCAATTTCAGACTGTAGAAGTTGGCAAAAGTCTTCAATTTTTTTCATCTTTCGTATTACTGGTTGGCATGTAAATTTGAATAATTTATTTTTGTTCACCATATATTTCTAGCTCTAACAACATTGCCTGGCTCAGAATATGTGCTTACAAAATATTGGTGAATGAACAATGTATCATAATTCCTGGAATATGTTGTTGAAAACATGTTTACTACCTTTCATGATGCCTTCTTGATAAGACACCTAGACAGAAATGTAATTCTGGCTTCTGTATTGGGGACACTTGTGCTTTCCCCATCATAGAGTAGATAGTTTTCCTCTTGGCTTTGAGTGCAGTTGTCTCACCTATCCCAAGATGAACAGGATTTCATGTCACTTCTTTAGTGTTCTAGCTTCACACATGTAGGTGGTACCCTCCTGCTGAAAGAAAAAATCTGATCAGTAAGTCACTTAAGTTAAAAAAAAAAAAGAAAAGGTTTTATTGGGTGGAAAAAAGTGTTCTGGAATAGGGAGCACCCTTCCAAAGAGATATGTTCCTCACGTTACAATTTTCATCAGCTTCTATACAGTACAAACTGTTAGGGGATTTCCCAAAAGGGGAATTTTAGAATGATTCGTTGTCATTCACCTAATCAGCAGAAGGTGGCTTGGACTGGTTTATTAACTTTGTATGTCAGCATTCTATAGGCTAGTTATGACTTATCTAATTATTTTTTTCCTGAATTATCTATCACAAGTTTTTAGTTTCTGTGAAGGGTTACGAGTTAAGTTTAAATGCAGGAGAGAGGGAGGGAGTCCATTTTCTTTTAACAATCCTTTTATATTTTTAATTTCCCTTTGTCTGCTTGCCTCAAATGATGTTTTGTTTTCTCTTGTTTCTAGTTAAATGGATTAAATCCTTCTGAGAACAAGATGAGAGTGACTCTAAAAGTAAATAAATGTGATTTAAACTTGATAAGATCCCAAGCGACTTGTCTGTATTCCATTTTGCAAATCATCTCATGGACTTGGCTTCCTGATATCGCTCAAACTAACAGCTCAAAGAGCAAACCGACATGTTATGGATTGAATTGTGTCCGCCAAAAATATCTGTTAACTTGGCTGGGCCAGGATTCCCAGGATTCTGTGATTGTCCACCATTTTGTCGTCCGATGTGGTTTTCCTATGTGTTGTAAATCCAATCTCTATGATGTTAATGAGATGGTATTAGTGACAGTTATGTTAATGAGGCAGGACTCAATCTGCAAGACTGGGATGTGTCTTGAGCTTAAAAGAGAGAAGTGAGCAGAGATACATGGGGACCTCATACCACCAAGAAAGTAGTGCCAGGAGCAGAGTGTATCCTTTGGACCTGAGGTCCCTGCACTGAGAAGCTCCTAGAGCAGGGGAAGACTGATGACAAGGCACTTCCCTCAGAGTTGAAAGAGACAGAAAGCCTTCCTCTGGAGCGGGCATCCTGAATTCGAGCTTCTAGCCTCCTGGACTGTGAGAGAATAAATTTCTCTTTGTTAAAGCCATCTACTTGTGATATTTGTGTTATAGAAGCACTAGATAGCTAAGACAGCACATAACTTCATGTGCCCCAAAATAGAATAAATAGGACCAATTCTAGTTTGTCAGTGAGTCACTGATAGGCAAAAATATGGTAAGTCTTGTTCTTAAGAACTTTCCTGGCACTGAGGCAGAAGGACAGCTCTAGCTCCTGGCCCAGAGCTCTGGCCTCATCTGAGAACTCAGCAAAAAAAAAAAAAAAAAAGAAACAATCAACATTTATTCTTTGTCCTGAGAATTAACATAGTTGCAATAATACCTACATTTTATAAAAGATGGTAGTTATTTTTATTGTTCCATAATTTTTATTTTTCAATGTAAATTTTATATCAACTCTGCTCCTCCTCTTCACCCTCCATTTAAGGGCAGTCGATATCTTTGCGGCCTTTTCCTGATAACAGTCATGGTAGAGTAGGCAGGACCTCCAGTATGTGCTAGACATTGTGGGAATCCAAAATGTCTACGGTTTGGTTTCAGCCAACGAGAGAAGGCATTTTCAACGAAGGGAGGTAGGGAGGCGTGGTTTGGTATGTATAGAATCACCTGGACAACTCCATCAAACAGGAATTATAGATCCACCTCTACAGGCTCTCAAAGTAGGGAGAGGCGGCAGGAGGCTTGTTCTGATGCAGGGGCCTTGCCAACTCTGGAGGCTGGTTGCATATAGACATAGCCATCTTGGTGGTGGGGTCACCTAGAGGCTATAGTTGGATTAAACACTCAAGTCTCATAAAGGATATAACCTAACTGGCACATCCGAATGAAAACAGGGCTATCTCGGGGAGGTTAAGAGGAAACGGGGTTGGAGATAAGAATAAGATGGCTTTTGGAATCAACTCTTGGCTCCTTTAGCTTGAATCGTGGTGGCGTAGTGGTTAAGACTTTGGCTGCTAACCAAAAGGTTGGCAGTTGGAATCCACCAGGTGCCCCTTGGAAACCCTATGGGGCAGTACTACTCTGTTCTATAGGGTCACTATGAATTGGAATCCACTCGACGGCAACGGGATTTGGCTTTTGGTTTTTAGCTTCAACACCAGCCCCTGGGGTACGCCTGGAGCACGCCTGGAGCGCGCGCGCACGAAATACTAAGAAGAATCATTAGAAAAGCTTTCCCCATCCCCAGGTGATCAAGGTTGTCATCTGATGTTTGTTTCCAGGACTTTTTCTGTATGTTGACATACACAGCGTGTTGGATGCCCTGGAGTCGGTTCCGACTCACTGCGACCCTATATGACAGAGTAGAACTGCCCCATGCGGTTTCAAAAAGCCGCTGATGGATTCGATTTGCTGACCTTTTGGTTAAGTAGCCGAACTCTTAACTACTGAGCCACCAGGGCTCCAAACTTTGCAATACCCATCCAAAATATACACTAGAGCGCTACTTGTTCTGTTGCGTGCTTCACCTCAACACGCAGAGCGGGAGAACCAGTTTTACAACTTGCTTTCCTCGCTTTACGAAGCGTCGTGAAATCCCCTCCGCTTCAGCATTTTCTTCACGTCAGGCGTAGAGCGTCACGTAGGCCGTTCAGATCCCGTCTGCGGCGGGTCGAAAAGCCGGGGGCCTGCGGGTGTGGGTGGGAACGCGCGGGCGCGCGGCGATGACGCGCGGCGATGACGCGTGCGCGGTGACGGTAGCGGCCGCGGCGAGGGGGCGGGGCCAAGGTTGCGGCAGCGTCGGGCGCGCGCACACGTTGCATCTTCTTGCTTTCGGCGGGTTCCAGTTGGTTTGGACGGCTGGGCTGGCCGACTGACAGGTAGATCGGCAGACCGGTGGAGATGGCGACACTCTGCCTGACGGTGAACACGGGAGACCCTCCACTGGGTAAGGGGCCGAGGAGCCGACCTGTCTGGGTTGTATCAGCCCGGGAGGGTGCGGGGCTGGGAAGGTCGCTGCGCCCCGGCTTTGCGCAGTTGCGGTTCAAGGCTGGGAGAGTGGACCTGTCCCTGTCCCCCGAACTGCTCACGGGGTAGGCCTAGCACCCCCCACCCTCTTCCCAGCGCTAGGCAGATCTGCACCTGAAGATAGTTTTCCGGGCGTGTAGGGAGGGGCCGTGTGAGCCTGGCTGGGTGACACGCGGCTCAGCCTCGGACCTTCTCCCTCTGAGGGATGACTCCCAGCCAACTCCGACTTCCCTTTTTGTAGTGATTTCCTTCGGAGACTCAGAGTTGCTCGTAGAAATAACATTTTAAAGCATAAAATCCCATTATTTGCGCTTCCTCTCTTTTTGCTTTTTTTCCCTTCCCTCAACTCCCCTTATCTTACACCCCTTCGCCTCCTCTACTCTCAGAAAAGATGCTCAGTCCACTCGACTTCTCCTATTATCATTTATGATTTCAACGGAGGTTGCATTTATTTTTAATTAAAGGTAGCAGAGTAGTTGCTGGAAAAACCAGATATACTGCAAACTCATGGGGTTGCTCTACTCCACACCCTGTGGATGTGGTAAACATCAGAGTAAACGTCGGACCTGTCACCTTCCGGATATATTTTAAGTTCGATTTGGGATTGCTTTTCCAACATGGTCAAGGTCATTGTGGGTAATTAAAAAAAAAAAAAAAAAAAACAGACCCGTTGCCGTCGAGTCGATTGCGACTCATAGCTGCCATAGAGGACACAGTAGAACTGCCCCATAGAATTTCCAAGGAGTGCCTGGTGGATTTGAACTGTCGACTTTTTGGTTATCAGCCCTAGCACTTAACCACTATACCACCAGGATTTCCACTGTAGGTAGATAGGTAAAAATTTCTGCTCTTTTGGTACTTAAGGAAATTGCACATAAGAAGAATTTAAGTAGATTACTACTTGCTTTCCTCGCTTCGTGAGGATATGTAAATGCGATTTGTAGATCTATGATATTGACACACAAGTGCTTTCTACTGTTTAGGAAGCCCAGAACTATGGATACAATTGGCTACCTAGGGCTGATGCAATTCTCCTTACATTCTCAGCTTTTGGTGGTGTTCTGACTCTGTTAAAATAAAAACACTATTTAATAGCTATTTTAAATATTTTTTTTAAATGATAATGTTTTAACAGTTGGTTCCAGTAATTATGGTCTAACCTTGAACAAATCAGTGAACCTCTAAAAGGTATGGATTTGATTCGTGGTCTCGTGGTGAAGAACGAAGGCATTTTTTTCCTGAAGACTTGGAGCCAGTCCCGGCTCCACATCCTAGTTGTTTAGGCAGGTGACTTCGCTTTTCCCACAGTTTAAGAAAGGGGCATGATATCTTTCACAGAGGATTGGGTTGCCAGAATTAAATGAAGCAGTGTCTTTAAAGTTTCCTGACACATTTTAGATTCTTAGTAAATAGCTTTGTTGTAGTTGTTAGGTGCCAAGTGGATTTCCACTCACAGCGACCCCATGTGGCAGAGTAGAAGTTCCCCATAGGGTTTTCTAGGCTGTATTCTTTACAGGAGCAGATCAGTCTTCCTTCTCCTGCGGAGCCGCTGGGTGGGTTCAAACCACAAACCTTTTGGAGCGTTAACTACTGCACCACCAGGGCTCCTTAAATAGCTATAGTTTTCACTAATGTTACTTAGAAAATCATCGTGAAGGTGGTAGAGTTGTTTTCTTAGTGAATTATAGAACTCAGAACCATATTCTGCTAATATTCTGAGAGTCTTAATGTGATTACTTGTCTATCATTTGAACTCTAGACCAATTATAGAATCTATGTTAACTTCCCTAGCTGCTCCTCCCTCTCCTTTTTTAATGATTTACTTCTTTCCATTTGTTTAATTCAAATGCATTTCATCTTTAAACAATCAATAAAATTAGAGGAAAAGTTTAGAAAAACATACGGCATTGCTAGAATTTCTTTATATGTTTTCAGCATATACAATAATTTTAATGTTTTTTAATGTTAAAATAATTTCAAATTTACAGAAAAGATACACGAATGCAAAGAGCTTTATCCCCATGTATCAGCCGAGAGCATGCTGCAGGTAGGATGCTGTGCCACCCCAGAATGCTCCAGTGTGCATCTCTCACAAGCTGGGGAACTCTCTTCCATGACCTCACATGACCATCGACATCAGGAAATACACATCGATGCAGGATACAGTTCTTCCACTGATCCACAGGCTCCGTTCACCTTTCCTCAGTTTTTCCAGCAGCACCCTTCATGGTGCAAGGGGTCCACATTCAAGACCATGTTTTATTAGCACCTGGTTGTCATATCTCCCTAGTTTCTTTTAGTCTGGAATCGTTTATTAGCTTTGACCTTTCTGAAGATTACAGGGTGTCTGATATTTCCTCGTGGCTAGATTCAGGCTACGCATCTTTGACAGCAATAACACAGAAGTGATTTTCTTTTCATTGCAGCTTGTCAGGTGGTGCCTGATTTAAATCTTTCCCATTATTGATGATTCTAACCTGGATTGCATAAGAAAGTATCTGCCAGTTTTTCCCACTGCAGAGTTTCGCCAGTCAGCAGGCATTTTGTGGGGGGAGATGCTTTGGGATCATGTAAATATCCCACTGTCCATCAAACCTTCCCCCAGTGGCTTGAGCATCCATTGATGCTTCCTGTCCAACGTGATGGTGATGATTACGATGGCTGCCTAGTGCTCACCTTCCGATTCTACCATTTATTATACACTTATTAGTTGGCATTTTTTCTGTGAGAAGAGCTTTCTCTTTTTTCCCATTTTTAGAATTCATATCAAAATGGACTGTTTTAATATGTATTTTCATCTTCTATTTTTAAAAAATAGATTTATTATAATTTGCATATGATGCATTTAATGAATTTTAAGTGTACAAATTGAATGACAAATATTTACAGTTGTATAGCCACCACCACAATGATGATACAGAATATTTCCATCATTTCAGAAAGTTCTCTCGTCCCCCTTCGCAATCAGTCCTCTTTCCCCATCCCTGGCCCCTGGTAGCCACAGATCTGCTTTTTGTCTCTTTTTTTTTTGCTTTTCTAGAAATTCATGTACATTGAATCATATTATTCATATTCTTTTATACCTAGAATAGTGCTTTAGAGATTCATCGGTCTTGTTGCCTGTTTAACAGTAGTTCAGTCCCATTAATTGCTGACTAGTGTTCCATTGTTTGGATTTACTATAGTTTATCTCATTTATTTTGATGGCCAGATTGCCCCATTTACCAATCAGAGCCCCTCCAAGTTGGCTTCAGTGTCCTTTTTTTAAAATATTTTATTCTGTTTTTGGTGAACATTTACACAGCAATTTAGATTCTCATTTAACAACTTCTGTACGTATTGTTTATTGACATTGGTTACATTTTTCACAGTATATCAGCATTCTCATTATTTCCATTTTCATTCTGTTTCCATTAATCTAGCTTCCCCGTTCCCCATTACCTTCTTCTGTTTTTTTTAATTGTGCTTTAGGTAAAAGTTTACAGAGCAAATTAGTTTCTCATTCAAAAATCTGTACACAAACTTTTGTGACATTGGTTGAAATCCCTGCAATGTGTCAGCCCTCCTCCCCTTTCTACCCTGGGTTCCCTGTTGCCATTCATCCAGTTTTCCTGTCCCTGTCTTCTCGTCTTTGCTTTTGGGCAGGGTTGCCCATTTGGTCTCGTATGTTTGATTGATCTAAGGAGCACGTTCCCCACTTGTTTGTTTTATAGTCCTGTCTCATCTTTGGCTGAAAGATTCCCCCTTACCTTTTTATCTTTGGTTTAGAGTAAGTGTTCAGTGTTTAGTTTCACTTAGAGGATTATTTAGAAGAGCACAGTACTGATACTTATTTTATGGGCCAATCTGTCATTTGACTGGAAAGTGATCTCTGGGAGTGGTTTCAGTTCCAAATTTAAAGGGTATCCCAGGGCAATAATCTTGGGGGTTCATCTGGTCTCTACCAGTCCAGTAAGTCTGGCTTATTTTTTTAGAAAATTGAGTTTTGTTCTGTATTTTTATCCCATTCTATTTGGGACCATCTACTAAGTCCCTGGTTGGAATGGTCAGTAGTGGCAGCTGGGCACCATCTAGTATTTCTGGTCTCAGGGTAGGCAAGGCTGTTACTTGTGTAGATTATTACTTCTGTAGACTAGTTTCTTTGAATCTTTGGTTTCCTTCTTTCTGTTTTGTTCCGGACGAGAAGAGACCAATAGTTGTATCGTAGATGTCCACTCGCTAGCTTTGGAGACCCCAGATGCTACTCACCAAACTAGGATGTAGAACATTGTCTTCGTAGACTTTATTGTGCCAGTTGACTGAGTTGCCCCACAAGACTGTGATCGAAGCCCTCAAACCCAGTAAACCAATCCCATGAGGTGTCTGGTTAAGTCTAGAAAGTATCCATAACTGCACCCCCATGTCCTTTGTTTTATATATGAATATATATGAAGCAATTTTGTGTCCTTTTGACATGTCTCTATCATTCTTTGGATACTTCCTTGTTTTCTAGTACAAGATTTTCCAGGCTTATCTTATATTTTCCCTGTCACGGCCCTGTTTCCAGTGTAGCACGCTATTTAGAAACCAGTATGTGGGTGCTGTTGTTGCGTGCTGTCGAGTCGATTCCAACTCACAGCAACTTAACCCATTTTAGCTAAATTAAAGGACAAAGGATTAATGAATCAATTTAGTTAGTAAACTTTATTATGTTTGAGAGTCAGTATTACACTGTGTTAGTAGAGTTTGAGCTCTGTGCTTCCTCAGACCTGCATTCATATCCTGACTCTGCCACATACTTAGGGAAGGACTGTGGGCTAGTTATGTAACTCCTTTAAGCCTCAGTCTCCTGTTCTGTGAAATGAGAATAAAGAAAGGTATCTATCTCTTAAGGTTACTACAAAGATTAGAAATAATGACTGTAAAGCATTTAGCATAGTGTCTGCTGCATAGTCATCAGTCAAATAACATTAACAAAAGCTTTTATACAAGGCACTATTCCAATTTCTTCTTGTCTCCTGAGGAAGGGAAAGATTAATGTCAGCATCCCTAACTGGAAACAGCACATTCAAGGCAGCTGGACTGTGCTAGTGAATTGGTTCTCGTTGATTTTTTAAGACAGAAGACTTGTCTATTTATACTGTACTGGGGACAAAAAATTTACTGCTTGTCGGACTTAATACTGGTTTGTTGACTCATCCTTACGGTTTTATGATTCGAGTTATAAATACTACCTTTTTTACAACAAGAAAGAAATCTTTTCATCCTATTATTTTTAGGAGCTTTGCTGGCAGTAGAACACGTAAAAGACAGCGTCAGCATTTCTGTTGAAGAAGGGAAAGAGAATATTCTTCGTGTTTCTGAGTAAGTGCTTTTATATCCTTGTTCTCAGTACTGATACAGCATTTTTTAAGTATTCGTGATTAAATGCTTGCGTTACTTGCTAATTAGGTAGCTAGTCCCTAGAAAGAAGTATGCTTTTCTTCATCATTCTAAAAAACCTATACCCAGAGACTTATACTTGTCAGCAGGCTGTCTTGATTCCATTTGTAATCTGCTTAAGTGGACTAAAAACGTACAGAAAGATTTATATATAAGGCTTTTAAATTCCATTGAAATTTATTCTGCTGGGAAACTGAAAGGATTTAAAATTAGTAATAATAGACAGTAAATAAATATGGTTCAATAAATATGGTAAGTTCACAACATGGAATATTAGCCAGCTGTGAAAAAGGTTTATGAAGAATTTTTAATGCTGGAAAATGTTTATAATCTAACCTTTAGTTTAATCAAGGCTGCATATGAAAATCTTTCAGAGTTGTAGTTCTATATGATTTGTTACAAAAAATACCAGTTATCAGCCCCTCTGCTCCCAGTCCTCCATCTTCCCTGCTCTAGGAGCAAACATTTCAGCTCTTTTGAGTTGATTGTTTTGACGTTGGCCTCTGTCTCTAACTAACATGCTTGTATTGCTTCACCTTGGTTTTCTTTCTGCTGTGGAAGCTGAAGCTGAAGCTCTTTCTCTCCCCTGTTGCCACTGTATACACACCCTCCCTCTACACTCACACCCTCCCTTTTCTTTCCCTATCTCCCCCTTCTCCCGGGGTAGTTGAATCATCATTTTGGTTAGATCACCATCCAGTGTTTATATTGTTATAACCAAGTTTTATTCACTTCTCAACCACATACTCTGATTACTTTGCGTGGACACCCTTTAGTTTTCCGTAGAATAGTTGTTTGCTTTGTTCTCTTTCTTCTGAAGCCTTTCTGGTCCTGATCTTTTCTATGAGACTTCAAGAAGTGTATAAGAATCTTCCCTTAGGATTCAATATTCTGTAATTTCATGATCTGGGTCTGTTGTTCATCTGTTCTATTAGATACTTGGTTGCTACTTTCATTGTGGATGTTGGGAAATTCTTCTGTTTTGGGAAATTAAAGTTTCCTTTGTGATTTTCTTCTCTCTGTTTTCTGTTCTTTATGTGGATATTGGACCTTCTGAATTAGTTCTCTCATTTTCTTAAACTATCACCTCCATTTTTCTATCTTTTTTTTCATTTGCTTTACTTTCTGGAGATTTCCAGTGTCCATTTTTCTACTGAGTTTTTCATTCTGCTATTGTATTCTTAGTATCAGAAAGCTCTGTCTTTTTTTATTTTCTGGATATTCCTTTTCTGGTATCTTGTTTTTGTCTTATGATCGCATTATCGTGTTTTATTGCTTAGAGGAAATTTATTTATACACTTTTTAAGTTTTCTCTTCCAAGTTACATTTTTCTGTGTGTTTACTTTGGTCACTATCTTTCAAATTAAAGGCTTGCCTCAAGTATCTGGTAACTCCTCGTGGTTTGTAGGATTTAGAGTGGGAGATTAAAGCTGATTACAAGTTTGGAAATCAAGGGTGGGTTTGCCAACTCTGAGCTTTAGGGTGATTTGCCTGGGCTGTTATGCCCTCTGATGGTAGTATCTTTATTTCTCCTGAGCTAATCAGAGTATCCAAAGAAGCCTTTTAATCATTTTAGAAGGTGAAGGAGACCTGGCTGCCCCCTATTTTGGAAGCTAAGGATGAGGGCTGGGGGCTAAGGGGAAGTCTCAGTAGCCTATGTACTTGTATTCTGTTTAGTTTGCCTCCACCTTCAGCTGTGCCAGCTATCCCCAGTTCAGAGAGCTTCTGTTTTATCCTTTAGAGAATAAACCTCCAGTTTGTGCCAGGCTGGGTGAGAGAAGTAGCCCAGCCCTGCAGAAGGCTTTCGGGGCACCCGAGTTTCTCCCTGATTGATACCCAGACTTTCAGCAGTCCTTGGTTTACCCCTAGTTTGCGCTCACTTTCAAAGACACCTGGTTCTGTGGCTTCTTAAGTCTTTTGGGGATTCTGAAATTTAAATTGAATTGTTTTTCAGCTTTGTCCACTGTCCCCTAAGATTCAGGTTTTTCAGGTCAGCTAAATCCATCTGCTTTTTTAGTTTTGAAATTTCATTGCTATTTTCTCTTATTTTTGTTCTCTTTTTCTACGGGTTTGTACCTTAAAAAATATTTTTTTGACAAAACAATTGTGATGGGGTTTTGGATGGTATTCAATCTGCTGCCTTTATCTGGAGTTTGATAAACCTAGCCTCTTTATGACAGTTTATCTTTGGCTTTTTTGCCTTGGTTTTGTTATTTTAAATCATTGTTCTTTTGAATATCCCAATTATGTTTTCCTATTTTCACCACTGAATATACACGTAGAAACTGTTAGAAGGATAAAGCATCATGTACAAAGTCTGCTCTGAAGTGAATTGTTGGATTTAGCTGACATTTCAGAACAAACGGGAGTGTGATAGAAATAAAGAACATATTAGGCTGATCTATTTTTGTTAATACATGTGATAAATTCAGTAAGGTTTCTATTTTTGTGTTTCTCCGTAAGTCTCATGACTCTTCGTGATTTGCTAGAGTAACGTTAATATTTTATCTCATGTTTATGTTGTAGAAATGTGGTCTTCATGGACATCAATTCCATACTCCGCTACTTGGCTAGAGTTGCAACTACAGCCAGGCTGTATGGCTCTAACCTGATGGAGCATACAGAGGTAAGGACTGAACATTGCCTTGTGTTTGTTTTGATTACATAATGCTTCCGCATTTTTGAGAACCTCATTATCTTATCATTAGTTTTTATATGATGATTATGTTTAAGGATCTCAACATAGTAACTTAGTCTTAATTAGACCAAGTTAAGGAATCCTCATAATGTTTTTATTTTAAGAGAAATTTTCTTTTCCCTTAGCTCCTAAGCTTGAAATTTTAATCCCACACCAGCTGTCCCAGTAGGACACTGAGTGCTGTCTTCTTCTTCCTCGATTCTTAGAATTTCATAGCTGGAAGGGACTGTGCCATTGTTGTTATTGTTAGGTGCCATCAAGTTGATTCTGACTCATACCTACCCCATGTGACAGAGTAGAACTGCCCGATAGGGTTTTCTTGGCAGTAATCTTTACAGAAGCAAATCACCAGGTCTTTCTCCTATGGAGCTGCCGCGTGGGTTCGAACTGCCAACCTTTTAGTTAGCAGTGAGCACTTAACTGATGCGCCGCCAGGGTTTGTTGGAAGGGACTATATAGGTCATCTTATCCAGCTTCCAGCGCCCTTATTTTACAGATGAGACAACAGGCCAAGAAAAGTTCAGAGGTTTGCCTCAGGTCACACACAGTTTGAATCCTCTTTTCCTTTGTAAGTATGTAGCTTACATAATTAGTTATAGCAATTGTAGCTGAACTTTCAAGGCTTCCATGAGTACTGCTCTTTAGATGCTATGTATTTATTATTATTATTTTCCTGTTTGTATTCCTTCAACTGTAACTTTCCTAAATCTCATAAAATTCAAAATAAAGAAGTTTCTGAAGATTTACTTTTATTTTTATTCTTTTTTTTGTATTGTTATGCTTTAAGTGAAAGTTAACAATTCAAGTTAGTCTCTCATACAAAAATTTATACGTACATTGTTATGTGACCCTAATTGCTCTCCCTGTACTGTGACAGCACACTCCTCCTTTCCACCCCGGATTTCCCATGCCCATTCAACCAGCTCCTGACCCTCTCTGCCTTCTCATCTCGCCTCTGGATGGGAGATGCCCATTTAGTCTCATGTATCTACTTGAGCTAAGAAGCACACTCTTTACGAGTACGATTTTATGTCCCATAGTCCAGTCAAATCTTTGTCTGAAGAGTTGGCCTGGGGAATGGTTTTAGTTTTAGGCTAACAGAGAGTCTAGGGGCCGTGTCTGCCGGGGTCCCTCCAGTCTCAGTCAAACCATTAAGTCTGGTCTTTTTACTAGAATTTGAGTTCTCCACCCCACTTCTCTCCTGCTCCGTCAGGGACTCTCTGCTGTGTTCCCTGTCAGGGCGGTCACTGGTGGTAGCCGGGCACCATCTAGTTCTTCTGGTCTCAGGCTGATGGAGACTCTGGTTTATGTGGCCCTTTCTGCGAAGATTTACTTTTAAATTCTGCGGGTGGGTGAATCTGTTTGGCCAGGTACCTCCTGCTGGGTTCTTTCAGATGAAACCCTGGTGGCATAGTGGTTAAGTGCTACAGCTGCTAACCGAAAGGTCGGCAGTTCGAATCCACCAGGTGCTCCTCGGAAACTCTATGGGGCAGTTCTACTCTGTCCTGTAGGGTCGCTGTGAGTCGGACTCGACTCGACGGCAGCGGGTTTTTTTTATTCCTTCCTGTTACCAGTTTTTGAATCTTTGTTATTTCTTTCCTGTTTTTCCTAGAGGCGCCTCTCCACCCCCTACCCCCACCCCCGGCAAAAGAAGGACTAGAAAAATAACATCAAAATGTAATGTTTATTTAGGTGTTCAATTTAGATCCCAGGCCACACATTATGAGACTTGAATCCTCATGATGACAGGTGCTATAATTTGAGAAAAAAAGGCATGAGTCTAACTCAGAAAGCCCAAGGTGTGCTGTTGCTCCAGTTAACCAGAATTGTTTTCTCCCGATTTTTAAGTCTAAACCCTGGGATGCATTATTTCTTTTTTTTCTTTTGTGTTAACAGATTGATCACTGGTTGGAGTTCAGTGCAACAAAGTTGTCTTCATGTAATTTGTTCACTTCTGCAATCAATGAGCTCAATCATTGCCTCTCTCTGAGAACATACTTAGTTGGAAACTCCTTGAGCCTAGCAGATCTGTGTGTTTGGGCCACCCTCAAAGGTATCAGTAATTCGTCTTAAAGAATGCTCTGTTTAATCATTTGCTGTTTTGCTGGCTAAGAAGTACACGTGTATATGTACAGGTACAGACCTGTGTGCGTGGTATGTGTAGGCAGTAGCTGAGGACGTTCTTACAGAGGAATGGCCAGCCTGGTTATTTTTTGCTGTCCAGTCAGGGAATTTCCTGCCCTTCTCTGCTGTTCCGGGGTTGTCTCCATCTCAGTCCACCAGCTCCTCTCCTGCCTTTGGAGCTGACCGTGTCCCTGCTGAAGAAGCCCTCATCCTGTGAACGTCACACCTCTCCTATCTCAGCCATCACGTTACTCCCAACAGCTTTATTTCTGACTTGAGCAAAGTCCTTTTAACTGCCCAGTAGGCGTGGTAGTGGGGGCTACGAGTGGTCTGGAGTTGCGGTTCCTCTGGGAGGTCTCTTTTTTTCTCTTTGACAGCTAGATTGCAATAGATAAGAATACAGTGTTACCGACTTGGGGAGACATTTACTTTTTAAACAGTTTTTCTGAGGTATAATTGATAAACAAAAAAATTACACTTAAAATGTAAAATTTGGTAAGTTTTAATATATGTAGACACCTGTGGAACCATCACCACAATCAAGATAATGACTGTCTCACCACCCCCAGAAGTTCTTCATGCCCCGTTTGTAATCATCCACCTTCTCCTGGTCCCAGGCAACCACCGATCCGGAAAGGCAGTTACTTTGATCAGTGGTGGAATGTTAATTAAATACTGATTAACTGAATGTCTGGGGGGCTGGATGGGGTGGGGGGCTAAAGTTCTGAGGTGCCAGAAGCCAGCATGCAGCTAGGAGGAAAAGAGAAATGGTATGGGAGGTGCCTAGAAAATTTATGAGAAAATAATTGTAAGTTCCTCAGTAAATTAAACATAGAATTGCCATATGACCCAGCAATTCAACTCCTGGATATATACAGGAAAATAATTGAAAACAGATACTAAAACAACAGCTTGTACACAAACGTTCATAGCAGCACTATTTATAATACCAAAAGGTAGACAAGTTTTTTTCTGCCTTGATGGTAGTTTTATCTCCTAGAAAGTAGAGAGTTTGGTAGAGGCAATTCTTAATTCATACCAATAACAACAAAATTGTCAAAAATCCCCACACAGATCCTGAAGGTGTCACTGAGTTGAGGAAACAAGCTGGAGTTTGGAAAAAGGAGAATTTATGGTAGCTCCTTGGAAACCATGTGGGGCAGTTCCACTCTGTCCCATAGGGTTGCTGTGAGATGGCAACAGGGTAGGGAAAGATAGACTGGGCTTAGTCAGTCACATACTTCAGACTTCATGGAGACAAATACCACAAAAGAAAAAAGAATTTTGGGAGCTGTCTTAGGCTGTGTTCGTTAGAGAAGCAAAACCAGTAAAGCATATAAATATATATATAGACAGATTTATGTCAAAGAAATGGCACACACAGTTGTAGAGACTGGAACATCCCATCTCCGTGGGTCAGGATTGAGGCTTTCATGTAGCTGCAGGGGCTGGCGAACCCAAGATCGGCAGGTCAGAGAGCAGGGCTGTTACTCACAGGCTTCAAAGATTGACGAATCCCAAGATCAGCAGGCAAGACTGCAGGTAAGCTGCTAGTTCAGGTTCCAAGAACCAGAGGTCAGATGAACAGGAGCCAGTTGCAGGATTCAGCATAAGCAAAAGCCCACTAGCCTTGCCAGAATGTCCATTTATATTTGATGCAGGCCACATGCCCAAGGAAACTCTCATTCAGTTGATTGGCTCCTCACAGCAGATCCCATCATGAAGGTGATCACAACATCATACGACTGCCAAACCGCGGAGAAGCATGGCCCAGCCAAGTCAACACACAACCGTAACCATCACAGGAGATTACAGTTCGACATGCTTTCATGACATGGCATCACAAGGAATAAGGCCAGAAAGGAGTTAGAGTCTGTGAAAAATGTAATGTTGATTGTACGGTTCTGAGTGATCCCAGAGAAACCAAGGTTTTTGCAGGAAGCTCGCCAGGAGTGCGGTTTTCAAAGCACCTGTGTAAGAGAAAACCCGGGCTGTTAAGGAGTGCTTAGGATGGATGATGTACTTATGTAGGAAAACTCTCCTGGTAGCATTGAAGTCTTTGATTTATTAAAAGCTTGAGGTGTATTAGTTTGCTGTGTCCAACCGTGACAAAATCATGGACATAATTGAAATGGGGCTACATTGTGGCTGTGTTACATACATTTAATAGAAATGTACAAAGTAGAGTGGGAGGAGAATGGCTTGATGACAGGCACATAGGGGACTTGAATTTTGTTAGTTTATTTCATTTATTAAAAAAGCTGAAGCAAATATGCCAGAATGTTTTTATTACTGTTTAAATCTGGGTGGTGGGTATATACATTGGTCCTTTTCTATTCTCTGTACTTTTGTGTGGCTTAAGCTTTTCTTCAAATTAAATTATTAAATTTTTATGACAACAACCAACATAAAGAAAAGCCTTTTTTAGTTAGATCCTTTCGTGTATAGGTTTATTTTTGACTTTTTTGTCTAATTTAGATTTTTGACTTAACATTTGTAAAAGAGATAATATGCTTCTATAACTCTCTTAAGATTGTAGCTTTGTATGTTAAAGAGTTAAGTAAACTTCATCAGTACTTATTTTTTATATTGCATCTGAAGAAATGAGCTACTTCTTGATCATCTTGATTTTTATTTCATTCTCTAGTCAATCTGCTTAACGCTTGTCCTTAATTATGAAATGTAGCATTGGCCTTACGGTTTTGTGGAGGCATCTAGTATTATATAGAACACCAGTGGATTGAACGAATAAATATATTTAATAATTTTGTGAGTTATGTAAAATATATTGAGGTATCAAAAAACATTTCAACATACGCCCAGATTTTATAAATTTCATTATAGAATTATAGCCTTAAGCCATTTCATTGACTTAAGCTAACCACAATGGGCCTGTTGCTGTTGAAGTTGCAGATGTATTGAATGGTTGTGGAATTGTGTCTACTAACAGGAAACGCTGCCTGGCAGGAGCAGTTGGAGCAGAGCAGGGCTCCGGTTCACGTGAAACGCTGGTTTGGCTTTCTTGAAGCCCAGCAGGCCTTCCGGTCAGTGGGTTCTAAGTGGGATGTCTCAACAACCAAACCCAAAGTGGTAAGCCCTTTTTTTTTTTTTTTTAATGCTGACATTTTAGTCTTTCTGAGACCCGACATCTGAAAAGAAAATTATTGTCACAAAATTTATTTTCTTTTCATAAGCAAAAAAAGAATCTTGCTGGAGCAATCCACTGTTAAATCTTGGCTTGACTTTTCACTGTTCGATTACATAAAACCCTAATCTTGGTAATTACATTTCTAAAAGATTATGATCATCTAAAGTGTGTCCCTTAGGCAGTCCAAACTCCATGTAACTAAAATCTCATTATTTTACTGCTGTACAATCTTCTCTTTCTCCCAAATCTCCTCTTTTCTTGTTCTTGAACAACGGACCATTGAGTCCTAGGATTCTGCAGGGCCTTCTCCTTGCTTCTGTAGGAGGGTGTGGCCTAGGGTGGAGTAGAAAGGGGCCTCTTTGCAGCCAGTGTCACTCTGCTTTGATCTCTTTTACGTTTTAGACATGTGTAGTAAGGTTTCAATTTAATAAAGTTTGCAGTGCAGTAAAATTTGTAAACTCTTGCATGCTTAGATGAAGATGTCACAGTCCACTGAGAACAGGATGAGAATCTTTTTTTTTTTTTTGTACTTTAAATGAAGGTTTACAGAACAAATCGTTTTCTGATTAAACAGTTAGTACACGTACCGTTTTATGACAATGGTTAACAACCCCACAACATGTCAACACTGTCCCTTCTCAATCTTGGGTTCCCTATTACCAGCTTTCCTGTCCCCTCCTGCCTTCTAGACCTTGTCCTGGACTCTTGTACCCTGTTAGTCTCGTTTTGTTTTATGGGCCTGTCTAATCTTTGGCTGGATGGTAAACCTCGGGAGTGACTTCATTACTGAGCTAAAAGAGTGTCTGGGGGCCATTCTCTCAGGGTTTCTCCAGTCTCTGTCAGGCCAATAAGTCTGGTCTTTTTTTGTGAGTTAGAATTTTGTTCTACATTTTTTTCCAGCTCTGTCCAGCAGGCTGGGAGTCTTGACTCATCTTGTCCACTGCTTTTCACATCCAATTGGTCAGCAAGTCGTATTATTATTATTATTTTCATAGCTATAGGTTTGTTTCCTGTCGGTCTCCACTGACATTGCTTTTTATTGAGGGCTTATTACACCGTGCTTAGGTTTATACCATAATGTCGTCATTGAACTTTCTGGTTTTTTGGTCTCTCCTTTCTCTAGCCTCTTCATTGTCCCAGGTAGCATTTTAAAAAATACAAATAAATGGTCACATTACCCCCTGAAGACTACCTACTGCCTACAAGAAAAGCCAGTCCTACAAGCTCCTTCATGTTGTATACCTCATCTGTGCTTCCTCTCCCACCCACCCAACATGGCATTCCAGCTTCACCAGACTTCTCATGACATCGCACTGCTCTTCCATGCCTTTGTGTCTTGCCTATACTGCTGTTCACTTTTTTAGAATGAACGCCCTTTATGCACTCTCCATCTGATAAGTTTCTACTTATTTTTCAAGGTCCAACTTGGCCATCACCTCATCTTTAAGCTTTTCTTGATAACCCTAGATGCTGCTGGTTAACTTTAACTGACTGCTTTGTTGTTACTGGCGTTTGGTTATATTTCTGTCCTTCACCAGGTTCTGAGTCCTCAAGAGCAGGGACAATGTTTCAGTCATCATTTTTCTTATAACCTGCATGGTGCCTGGCATCTAATGGGTACCAGGCATGTATTTGTTAAGTGAATGTATTCTTAGACGTTTAACATGTAACTATTTTTATTGTCGTTTTGCTTTTCAGGCACCTGAGAAAAAACAAGATGTGGGGAAATTTATTGAGCTTCCAGGTGCAGAGATGGGAAAGGTTACTGTCAGATTTCCTCCAGAGGCTAGTGGGTAAGGAAATGTAATTTATATTGATAATTGAATATATTTAGTGGAAAAAGCTTTGAAATAGTTATTAAATACTTATAATATTAATTGGTTAATGATATAGAAGAACATAAGATACTAATTATAGGAGTTAAAACCCTAAACATGTAACACTTATTAAATATTAACATAATATATTAATGTTAATATGTTAAATTTGTAGTTTTAGTTCTTTAAAAGCAATAGGAGAAACATTTTTTTTTTCACCCTGAAAGAATTTTAAATATAAATAGGAAAATACCTGTAAATAGAAAGGCTTCCGTTTTATTTGCATTTTGAGATTTTTAGGCTTTCATTTAGTAAAAATTTGTATTTTACCCTGAACAGTCCCTTCCATTAGTAGTAGAAGTTAGGGCAGAATTATTTAAAATTACTTTTTCCCCAAATAAAGGAAAGGAAACCTGAAAAGTCCATTTCCTATTCAGTTCTTCCCCTTATTAGCAGGTTTCCCAAGTCTTTACCTTCTTGGCAACCTTAGAAAATAATATTGGAATAGCTCATGGGGAAAAGGCTGTTGTGACTGGAGGCCCCTAGCCTGGGACTGCGCCATCTTGCCCCAGGGCAGGGGGGCATCTCTGTCCTTGCACACCTGCCATGCTAATTGAAGCCCACTGGACATGCTTTGTAATAGAGCCCCTCCAGTAATCCTACTAATATAATAAAATGCCTCTTATTAAAGCAGTTAGTCTCACTCAGAGACCTAGCAAGCTACCATATTTTATAGATGAGATAATTACTTTTTCCAAATTTAGTTTAACTTCAGATTTTGTGTTGTACAGCCAAATTCTTACCCATCTGTGGTAAATGGAATGCGTATAACAATAGAGAACTGGCAGATAAGGAAACAATTTTGCTTTAGCTATGTATGTAATAGTTCTTCCCAAACGATTTCACAAGCACCATTAACAGCAAAATCAGTTTTAGAATTCCACAATTTCGCTGCTTTTGTAAGTTTGCTGATAGAGGTGGTGAAGTAGAGACGAGGTAGAAGGAGATAGAAGAGAAATAATGACTGGGAGTTTCTCAGATTTGATCCTTATGTGATTGTTAGTTCACCGAGTGGAATGCACTCATAAATACTGCTTACCTTACATGGTTTAACTCCCACAGACATTTTGGGGCCCTCCTGCCTGATACTCTGTTCCTACATAGCTGAGTGAGAGGCCATGGTGGTCCATTGGGTGGTGACCTTAATGACTTGATAAAAGCCACTGTTTTGGTAGTGGCAGTTTATAGCTGTGCCGTTTAAACATTTGTCCCTTTTGAATCTTTTTGTATTTTCTGTCATTGTGAGCTTGGAATAGTGAGCTCCTTATGTTTATTATTTACTGTATACAATGTTTTTCTGTTCTAAGTTATGTCAATATCAGAGATTATGCTCTTGATCTCACAGAATCTTTGGGATTTGAACTATAAATCAGTGTTTCGTTTTTCCTAACATTCAAAATTTTGATCACATCCCTTTGTACTGCTCAAGAGTTCTTTATTATTAAAAAAATTTTTTTTTTCAGTGTCTTTTTCTTACATGGCAGGCCAGAAGACTTGCTTTTTACACTTTATTCTTAGCTAATGTATGTGTGGTATCTGCTGTGTGCAGGCACTAGCAAGTGCTTTACGTACAGTCACTCATTTAATCCTGCCAGTCCTGTAAGAAAGGCACCATTATCTCTGTTTTACAAACCACTGAAATCTGAGAAAATACGGAGTTTGTGTAGTAGAAACGAGTCAATATTGGTTGATTAGTTGGGACAAATGTACCCTAGGAAGGTAAGATGTTGACACTTGGGAAAGCTGGATGCAGGGTATACAGGAACTTTCTGTACTACATGTGCACCTTTTCTGTAAATCTGAAACTATTCTAAAATAAATCGTTCATTAAACATAAAATGAACTCTCTAAGTTCCCAGTCCTGTGAGAAAGGCACCACTGTCTCCATTACAAATGTAATCTTCGAAAATCCTTGTCAGGGTCAGATGTTCTATCACAGTACTTTTTGTTAGAAAATATGACTGGAATACCAATGAAAAGGATTTCGGTTTTGTTTGTTTGCATCCCTCAAAAGGGTTAAGTTTAAGAATTTAGTTAAAGCGTGTTAATGAGTTTCTCTGTGAAATGTTTTTGTTTTAGTTACTTACACATTGGGCATGCAAAAGCTGCTCTTCTGAACCAGCACTACCAGGTTAACTTTAAAGGGAAACTGATCATGAGATTTGATGACACAAATCCTGAAAAAGAGAAGGAAGATTTTGAGAAGGTAATTAAAGGTGTAGTGATGACCCTTTGTCGGAGAGCTGATAACAATTAGAGGGTGACCTGATACCTTCATGGTATGAAAATAAATGAAATTTCTTCTCCTGGTTGCTTTTTCCTCATCTGCATAATCCGTATCTGGTTCTAAGCCAAGAAATATTGAGCTCCCATACCCAAAAACTCCAATTGTTTTTCTCTTCCCTAATTGTTCTAAAATTAACGTGGTTGCTATCTTTTCCTATAAGTACCAATTTCTTAAATGAATTGGTCACTGGAGGCAGGTTTCTTTTTTGTCATAAAATTTTTAATTTATGAATGAAACAAAAACTAAATAGATATTGGAAAATGGGAAGGTTTCCTAGCCTTTTACAGTCATCTTTATTCAGAAGAAATGCAATACATTCTAAGAGAGGGCAAATAGTTGTCAGTAAGATCAACAATAACCAGCTTTTCCAGAGTAAATGGAAAGCTCCTTCATGAGATCAGCTTTCTCAGATGGAAATGTGGAGGTTAATATAATGAATATCTATCACTCTTTTTCTTTTCTGATCCTCTTTAAATCACTTCTGATTCTCTCATAATTTGCTCCTTAAGGGGTAGGAAAATGGAGCGAATAGCATACAACTTCCACAGCCATTTTCAGACTGTGTAAGGCTTGGTGGTCTAGTATCCCACTGTCAGACTGTGTGGGGCTCGGTGGTCTAGTATCCCACTGTCAGACTGTGT